TCTCTCTCTCTCTCTCTCTCTCTCTCTCTCTCTCTCTCTCTCTCTCTCTCTCTCTCTCTCTCTCCCTACTTCGCAAACTTCGGACTTCGGCTTTGCCAGAAGAAGAAGAAGAAGAAATAGAAGAAGAAGAAGTAGTAGTAGTAGTATGAAGAAGAAGAAAAAGAGAACAACAAAGGAAGACTTACCTATACCGATGGACGGCGGGGCGGGGCGATGGCGATCCGAGGCCAGGGCGGACGTGGGGGGGGGCGACGCAGCCTAGACCTCGTTCACTTTCGACAAAGTGTCAAAGTGACGGCTCCTGCTGCTCGAAAGCAGCTGGAGGCGGGAGGCGGGGCGGTGGGTGTGGTGCCTGGGGAAGGTTTAGATCGCCGCCAAGAACTTTGGGTGGTTTCCCGCCCGAATGTTCAAAAACGGGCGGCCTATCTGGGCTGCAGATCTCACCAGATCGACGGCCCAGATAGGCCGCCAGTTTTTCAATAATCCGGCGGGCCTACCGGACCCGGTTGATTTTTTTTGGGGGGCGGGAGGCTCCACGACCCGTATGAAGGCCTCCCGGCCCCCCAAAAAATTGAACCCCCCCCACCAACGAATTGCGCAAATTGCAACCGAGGGTGAATCGGTGCTATCCACCGGCCCGGTTCCGGTGGGGGAAGGGGGCCCCGGTGAGACCGGATATTCAGCCTTGGTTTGCTCAAGGTTCCAATTCCAAGCCCGTTTTCTCAAGATTCCTATCCTGAGTCTGTTTGCTGTGTTTTCTGAATATATATATGCTTGTGTGTGAGCAAGTGCATGTTTGTGTGTGTGCGAGACTCCGTTCAAAGGGCCGAGATGGTGTCATTGAGGATCGGCAGGGGGGGGGGCTGAGATGAGGTGATTGAGAATTCGCCGACAGGAGCTGTTGGAAGTCCCCTTCAAGTATAAGAGTGCCACTGTTGTTAAGCAGGTCTTGAAATGGTTGAATGAAGTAATCCACATCCAATCTGCTTGGTAGTTGCAGTTCGCCTGAAAGAGTTGTCAAGGTGTGTCGTCATGTGAGCAGTAATGGTGGGCGTGCATCTTGGAGCATTTCCTGGAAGGCAAAGCCACAGAAAAAAATGAGCAACATGTGTCAGAA